TGTTGCCCTGGACCAACCTGAGTCCGAATCTGTACAGTCCCCATCACTTCTCAGCTGGTATTATCATAGGCCTGTATCACCTGGGCAGTAGGCACAAAATCCGCGGGCTTCAACTCAACAGCATATGCCGTTCTCGACGGACACACATTGATAGCAGATCCTGTGTCAACAAGGACCACCGGTATCCATTTCTCTCTACACTCGACAGAGATATAGAGCGGTTTGTTATGATCTGAGCCCTCAGGCGGCAATTTTTTGTCGGTGAAGGTCAAGGTCGGGGAAGCTCCTCCCGGGAAAACCAACCCTACCAACTGCTCAGGAGTTATATCGATTGAAAGTTTAGCCCTGTCCATTGCAGAAAAGACAGCTTGTCTGTGAACTCTGAAGGCCATAAGCAGTCCCCAGATGGAGATGTTTGCTTGAATTTTCTTAAGTTGTTTCAGTACAGCCTCCTCCTCGAGCAGTTTTTCTTTCTGCCTCTCCGCTTCTTTGTCCTTCCCGGACGCCTCTGGTTGATCCAAGTGTGGGGGCTTGAAGTACCGCCCACTTCTGGTCATATGGTCAACCTCCTCAACATACCAAGTGTTATCCAGTTGGTTCTGTCCCCAATCTTCGTCAGTATGGGTAAGACGTAAGTCGTCGTCTTCCCACCACATCCCATCGACAACCGACAGACAGTTGTCCGGCTCCGTTGCAACTGTTCCTGTGCTCAGAGCACATTCCGTCCCCACAGGGGCCTTGGCCTTCCTAGCCCTCTCAAGATCCTCGATCTTTTCTTGCTCAAGACGCTTCAATGCAACCTCCTGTTTAGTGCCTAGTGTACTCAAACTGCCTGGATCCTGAGCAAAATTCTTTGCACCGGTGCTCTCCGGCAATCCCTGCTGATTCTCGGCCATTCTGGCCACTACTGATATTTCCGTTCCTAACGGTCCCTGTTCTGGCTGAGGCTACTCAACAACATCTGGCTCGTCATTGAGCCACCCTATATTTTCTTTCGATCCATCCAGATCAAACTAGTTGACAGTCACGTCCCCCGGATCTTACTCGTTGAAGAACTGCAAATTTGCGATGTCCTCTTCCAGCTCTGCTAGGTCATCTAGCCCCTGACTCGGTCCATCTTCCCGAACCACACTGATCTCTGCCCCAACCGGCAACTCTACCATCGGCTTAACCTGATTTGTTGATGTGAATCAACATTCATATCTGCCTCCAAAGTCATCCCAGTTCTGTCTTCGACAGTCACCACCACTGGTTCGGGTTGGGTTAGGGAGGTGCTCAACATGCACAAGTCTGTGCTGTCTGGAATGAACACCTCAGGCTTGGGTAGGTGAGAGGGTGTGATATATATGCTTGGGTCATATGGAATGGCCGCGGTTTGGATCAAGTTGACGTGTTTGGGTGGTGGAGCTTGGTTATGTGGTGGGAGTAGATTGGTGGTGACATTCGACTTTTGTGGTGGCGCAATTACCTTATTGTCAATGAGATCCTGGATCTCATGACGCAGCCTGAAGCACTGGTCGGTGTCATGACCATGCTGTCGATGGAAGGCACAGTATTTAGTCGAGTCATGCTTTGGAGGGAGATGATCGGGTAGGGGTCGTTGTTCTAACGGTTTTAGATATCGTTTCCTGAGTAGGACTCCCAGAGCTTTGGACAAAGGCATATACAGCGGGGTGAAAACCCTCTTGCCTCGGGGTGGATAATTCGAAGTTTGGGGGTTTGAAGTGGAAGTACCAGCAAAGGGATTGGCTATTTTTTGAGTGGTCGTAGTGACCATGCCCACATCGGAAGTTCTGGCAGCTGCAGCACTACTCGTGCTTGCATTCGAACTATGTATAAATGCCCTCTAGGGCTGCTCTCTCTTGTGGTCAATCAGACCCTGCTTCATAGCGTCTTCAATCTGTACCCGAATCTCGTGTAAATCTGTAAAGGTGGGAAGGGGTAAGACAATCATTTTTTGTATCAGCTTGGGTTGGAGGTTGCGTACAACCATCTGTATCTGATCCTTGTCGACCGGCCTAATGGTCATCATAGAAGCTTTGGCCCTCTAACGGGTTACAAAGTCAGAGAAGCCCTCTTTCGGCTCCTGTCTGGCTGTCTTATGATCTCGATCTGCGTGTTGTAGGAGTATTGAGCTATAAAGGCCTCAGCCATCTCCTCCCAACTTCTCTTGATAGAGTCCTCTAGCTTTGCGTACCAAATAGCCGCAACACCCGACAGGGTCCGGCCGAAGAGGGAAAGCTTTTGCAGTCTGGAGAGACCCATTGGCCTTAGGATATCTGAGAACAGCCGCAGGTGTACCATGGGATCCCTAAAACCGTCAAAACGGTCTATATGCAGCATCTTGAACCGGTCCAGCAAAGTCACTGCCGAATCGGTGTATCCATCCTCTATGTCCAGAATGAAATTAACGCCTTGAGCTTTTTTGAATAGCTTTTCTAACTTGCTCACTTTCAGCATTGTTGGATCCACCTCGAACTCAAATGGTGTATCAACTAGATTAGCCGGTGCTTTGGACAGCTGAGGTAGGATTGGGGGTGGAATTGGCCCCGTTGGGACGTCCGTATTCTCCTGGACGTTTGTAATTTCTCCGAGTGTTAGAATTCTAGGTGGGGGTGGGGGTGGATGCGAAGCAAATGCTCCGGCTTGTTGTGGTTGCTGCTGTTGCTGAAGTCTGGCAATCAGCTCTGTCTGTTGAGCTACAACCTCTGCCTGACGTGCGACGAACTCTGCCTGGCGGGTAGCATCCCGCTGCATGGCTTGCATAGTCTCTTGGAGCTGACCCATCATGTCCTCCATGCTGGCCATAAGGTGTTGATCTAACTAAACAACAGGTATATCTCTCTCTGCGGTAGAAACGGAAACCTCAGCCTGATTACTCACTGGTGGGGTGGATAAGGACCGTTGATCTGGTAACCGCTGTACTGATGAACTGTGCCTAACTGACCTCCGTCTAGTAACCAGGGGTAATGAAAAGAACACGGCTTGTCCGTCAACTAGATCCTCGAATCGATGAAGTCTTCGACCTCTGACCCAGAGTGCTTAGGGGGTATCTGCCTTTTCGGAAGCAATGATGCTAAACTACCTTGCAAAAATATAAATAAAGCATAATAAGGAAACAATAAGCAAAAAAACGGACAACACTTCGACTTAAATTTAAGACAACACACAGTTGACATTGTAAGTTGAACACACTGTTCTGAATACTGATCACTGTTCCCAAATCACTGCCCCAAATATGATACCCTCAGGTAAAACTGTGTAACAACCCCCATACTGCTTACCGGGAAAAAAAAAAATTACTGAATTACCTACTGATTATTGCTAAACTGGACTGTTTATGACAGATAATTGAACTAACTGAAGTACTGAATGGACTGATTGAAAACTGGAACTGAATTGACTGAGCATATCTATTGTATTGCATTTTTATCTGTTCGATTGTTTGATTATCTGTTGGTATTTTTATGTTTAAACTGCAGAATGAAGGTCTTATCGGCGGCCGAATCGAAAATAGATTGATGTTTTGGGATCATTGGAAATTATGTGATTTAATGGTATATTTATTGGAAATGTGATTAGGTATGACTGAATTAGATTAAATATTGTTATATTGCAAACTTTGACTTATTTACCAAACTTGCCACTAAGTGGGCCACTACCTCACACACTTAGGGTGTGTTTGATTGAACGGACTGGAAAATGGGGGATTAGAATCCATCGGACTTGAGTCTTGGGACTGTGAATCCCCCGGACTATTTGGTCGGATTGGATATGTATCCTGTGTTTGTTTTTTCATGGGATTAGATGTCTAGATAGGACTATTTTCAGTGAATCCAACGTTTGATTAGACGAACTGGATAGGATAAATGAACAAAAGACTATTTTACCCTTTTCAATAGTTTACTAAGTAATAGCAATATTAAACACATCTTTAATATTTTAATTATTTTTAATTAAATAAATTCATTTTTTTTAAATTAAATAAATAAATAAATAAAATATCAATAAAATTTGTTTTAAATCATTACTGTATAACAAATCATTATTTTTTTTACATGCAAAACTTTACTGTGTTTGTTTATTTACACAATTAAATAAATTTATTTTTTTACACAATTAAATAAATAAATAACCACTAAATTTGATTTAATAAAATACTGTATAACCTGTATAAAAAATTTATATTATTTTTTTAATTAAAATTTTAAATAAATTTTAAATAAAACACATATTAAAATTTAAATAATGAAATTAAATAAATTATAAACAAAATTTTAAAATAAAACATCAATAAAATATCTATAAAAAATTATTTTAAAAATTTAAATAAATAAAACATCAATAAAAAGTTAAATAAAATTATTTTATTTTTAAATTGAGACATTTAAATTTTATTGAATTTTATTAAATATAATACATAATTAAATAGTAGAGGGTCAAAATGGTCATTTTCGCATCTAATCCCAACAGTGAATAGTCCCCCACATTCTATCCCACCCCCCCTAGGACACAATAGTCCCCCATATGGGGGACATGGAGTCCGGCCGGACTCCATATCCGGCGGATCCGATAAAAGGGTTTTCGATATTCGATCAATGTGATTTTTTATATATATGAAGTACTCAACGACTTCTACATATTAAACAGTTTGAATTATCTAAATGGGATCCGTGATAAATTCCATAAACCTAACAATATACTTTAATCCACCCAATAAACTGGAAACCTCTTCCCTAATTAAACACTATAGTACAGAAAACAAATCATCGACATTGTCCAAAATTCCAAATAGATAAGCATAGCTACTCCTTTATATTGTTCTATACCCTCCCAAAAAAAATAATCATGTACATGTAAGCGACGCCAACCCACCAAAAATAAATGAACTTTCAAAAAATTAAAATTAAAATTCACCCAAGAACCCTAACAATACGACAATACACTTTAATCCACCCAATAAACTAGAAACCTCTCCCCTAATTAAACACCATACCACGGAGAACAAATCATCGATATTATCCAAAATTTCAAATAGATAAGCATAGTTACTCCTTCATATTGTTCCAAAAGAAAAAAAAACTCATGTACATGTAAGCGATGCTAACCCACCAGTTTAAAATAAACAAACATTCAAAAAATGAAAATTAAAATTCACCCAAGAACCACCTCCCAAAAAAAAAAAAAATTCATGTACATGTGAGCAATGCCAACTCACCAATTTAAAATAAGCAAACTTTCAAAAAATGAAAATTAAAATTCACCCAAGAACAATTCAAATTTGTTATGCTTTATTTTTTGTTGGAAATCTTCTTCAATAGAGAATTCTTGTCATCAAAATATAATCTTAGCTTTTTGAACATTTAAATAAAAATTCAATAAATTTTACTTTTTCCTTATCAAAATCAATTTAGTTCTATTAGCTTAGCATAAATGTTGATGGATTGGAATAGTATTAATAGAACTCAATTGTAGATTAGTGAAAAGTAAAACTCATTTGAAAATTTTCAATTTTTTCACTAACAAGGCCCACCATGTTGCTATACAATCATCACCTTAAGATCAGCTGTGATTCATGATCCGACGGTCCAATTTTGTTACTGCTTTTCAACTTCAATAGACCGTACAACTTCCGTATCTCTTTCACTGGAACCAAACTCTCTTTGCATCCACTGGACTCGCCGGAGTCATCCGCCGACGGTCTCGACGACGAGCTCTCCCAAGATCTCCGGCCATATTTTCCGGCCACTCTCGAATCGCCGTTGGTCTGCAGCGCCGCCGTAATCACAGATTTCAACGCCCTGCAAAATATAATAACAATTCAAACCACCAAAACCATAAACAGAGCAGTAGTAGAGATTGAATGTCTCTATATTG